ATATTCATGCGTTTTTTATGAATGGGTGGTTTATGCAGAAGTTAAACTTCAGTTGGTGCTACAAACTAGATTAGAGGTGGAGTTTAATGGAGCGTTACAAACAGACGTAGAGAAAGGAAGTGTGAACTGTTGCTTCTACCAACCTTAAAACAAGGGCCCATCTTCGTTTTTCAGGCTGAAATAGGGCAAGGTTGCGCGCTATCGATAACAATATGCTTCAGGAATTTCAGGCATTTTGCAGCATGTCCCCTTTTATTAAGCTTGCCAACCATAAACACTCGCTTATCGATTTCGAATCAACTTTTCGAATGCTTGTTTCAGGATTAATCTACGACTAATTGCCCTCTGAAATACTGAAACGCAACTACAACAAAAACATTGTGGTTGGTTTCAGGCTATTTTGGATCATCGGGATTTTACATCATCCATAACTTTTTACTACATCTGAAATTTGATATACCAACATATAAAAAACAAAGTTTTACGGTTCAGAAATTTCGAAATTACTGAAAATGCAGCGTCGTGATTTTTTACATTATTGACTTTCATCATATTCATGTTTGTTCCCCTTAATGAGTAATTTAAATGCGCTATAATTAAATGGATGCAGTATTTACGTTACGAGTTAACTAGTATTATATGTAGTAAATTTCCCTGAGGGCTTTTTAAGGCCGAACATGAAAGAATTTTCATGTAAAAATGCCAAAATACATCGTGATCACGAGGTCTCAACAGACCCATGATTATGTTTCCCAAGAAAAGTTCCGTTTCCGGCGAGATATCGACATAAATGAAGCTAAAATTGGGCCATAAAAACGACTCTTGGTGTTATTTGTAAGTGCTGACCCCGGAGAAATCCGGAATTCCCGCCACCGTTCATTTCTATTATTAAGATGCAAAACTATTGCATAAATCTCTTGCATTTTATTACCTTTCGTTAAATTTAAGTGCTCCGGGCTCCCGTACCGTTTTATAAAATATAGGAAATAAAGCACACATCACTTGATTAATTTCCAAGTTTTTTCATTAAGGTAATTTTCCGTATACGCGCTCCAAAATGTAATTAAATTTTATGAAAAACTTTGCGGAAAATCATCATTTCCACTCGGGGATTTTCCTATTGTGTTTGACGGACATGTGCCATTTTAACGCACTTTTGTGATTCCACTCGAAGAAATATCCTGAATTGAATTGAAATTCAACGTAAAAACCTGTCCAGAAATTATTTTCAGTTAATTTTCAGCTGACAGTTAAAATTATCTCGTTTTATGACTAATACTATAATCTTCAAACGTCTACACTAAACAAACTCATTTACCTAAATCCTGAAATTACAAGTTTTCAGTCGCCGAATTTAGCCATAAATTCAAGTAAAATAAGGAAAATAGTTACAGGGTTGTTATTGTGGCGAAAAAAGAAGATTTATTGAATCTTTTTATCCAACTCTGTACCGTTTCATGATATTTTTCAGCAACTAACTAAAAACTGTAAAACTTGCAAATATTTTTCTTTGAATTGACTTAATATTGAAAATTGTAACCTAACGTAATAAAAGTAATTCTGTAATTTTCAAACGTCCACGGTAAACAAGCTCATTTACCTAAATCCTGAAATCATTAATTTTCAGTCGCAGAATTAAGCCATAAATTACAATACAATTTTGTAACCTATTATGTTATTTTTCAGCAACTAACTGAAAACTGCGAAGCTGGCAAATATTTTTTCACCAAAATGTCGAAAATTGTAACTTGAAGTAATAAAAAGAGTTTTCTAAAAATCAAGTCCTGGAAAAGCCTAATTAGAAAAAAAATTAAACAATATTTTACAAAAATTTGAAATAACAACTCGAAATAGTTGTAATTACTAATTATCAAAATTTTGATGACCTATTAAATGTGAAAAAAAAATTAACCCTTATTTGGTTAAAAAAACAAAAAATCCCCAATTTAAATAGAAATTAACGCTATTTTTACTCGGTTTAGTTCATTTTGACCAAGAATTTTATCAGTTTCTACAATGTTTGTTAAAAAAAAAACAAATTAAATCAAAATTGACACTATTCTAAAGATTTTAGCTTATTTTTGAACAAGAAACTCACTTATTTTGTAAAATTTTATGAAAAAAGCCACATAATCGTTAAATTAGATCAAAATTGGTGTTATTTTGAGTAATTCTAACGGAGAAATTAAATTATCTGTTAAAAAAAAAACAACTTTAAAATCATCAAAACAGATGTTTTTTCAAAAAATTTAGTCGGGTTTTAAGCAAAATTTTGACAAAAACAGCAAATTAAATAAATAAAGTTTTTTTTTTAATTTGTACCCACCGAAAATTTTTAGAATTTTCTAATTAACTTCACTATATCCTACAATTTTCATACGTCCACACTAAAAAAAGATTATTTACCTTAATCCCGAAAACACAAATTTCTAGTCGCTGAATTAAGCTATAAATTCGAGTAAAGGGAAGAAAATTGTTACAGTGTTATTATTGGGAGATAAAAAGTACTTTATCAAATCTTTATGTCCTACTTGCAGCAACTTTGTACCGCATCATGAAATTTTTCAGCAACTAACTGAAAAGTAAGAAGCTCGCAAATATTTTTTTACTGAATTGCGCACTAAATGTCGAAAATTGTAACGTGAAGTAATAAAAATAGAGATTGTTTTTTAACAACGAAGAGTTTTCTAGAAATCAAATCTTGGAGGCCTAACTAGAAAAAAAAACAATATTGAACAAAAATTGGAAAAAATAACTTGAAATGATTGTAATTATCAAAATTTCTTGATCATCAAGTGTAAAAAAAATTAATAAAACGTTTAGCTAATTACATTACTTTTCAGATGTTGTTAATAAATTTCAGCTTATTTTTGTACGACAAACTTACTTATTTCGAGAAATTTTGTGAAAAAAGTCAAAAAATTATTAAATTAGATAAAAATTGGTGTTATTTTGCTTTAAAACGACTTTAGAATCATCAAAACTGATGTTTTTTTCGAAAAAATTAGTTTGTTTTTAGGCAAAATTTTGTCAAAAAAGCAAATTAAATTAACGTTTTATCTATTTAATTTGTTTAAACCCACTGAAAATTTTTAGAATTTTCAAATCAACTTCACTATATTTTATAATTTTCAAACGTCCACACTAAAAAAGCTCATTACCCTTAAACCTGAAAACACAAATTTTCAGTGCCTGAATTAGGCCATAAATTCGAGTAAAGGGAGAAAATTGTTACAGTGTTATTATTGGGAGATAAAATGAACATTTATCAAATCTTTATGTCCAACTTGCAGCAACTTTGTACCGTATCATGAAATTTTTCAGCAACTAACTGAAAACTAAGAAGCTCGCGAATATTTTTTACTGAATTACCCACTAAATGTCGAAAATTGTAACTTGAAGTAATAAAAATCGATATTGTTTTTTAACAACGAAGAGTTTTCTAGAAATCAAGTCTTGGAAGCCAAACTAGAAAAAAATTAAACAACATTGAACAAAAATTGGAAAAAATAACTTGAAATTATCAAAATTTCTTGATCATCAAATGTGAAAAAAAATTAATAAAATGTTTAGCTAATTATATTACTTTTCAGATGTTGTTAAAACAAAAAATCAGAAAATTTTGTCGAAACTGCCGTTATTTTGCCTCGATTTAGTTCATTTTTAACCCTTATTTCATTAAAAAAATTCAATAATTTGAATAAAAAATAACGCTATTTTTGCTTGATTTAATTTATTTTGACCAAGAATTTTATTTGTTCCTACAAATTTTGTTAAAAAAATTAAAATTGACACTATTTCAAAAATTTCAGCTCATTTTTGAACGAAAAACTTACTTATTTCTTGAAATTTAAAAAAAAAAGCCAAACAATCATTAAATTAGATAAAAATTGGTGTGAATTGTGTGAATTTTGTCAAAAAAGCAAATTAAACTACAGTTTTATTTATTTAATTTATATAAACCCACCGAAAAGTTTCAGAATTTTATAATTAACTTCACGATATTCTACAATTTTCATACGTCCACACTAAAAAAACTCATTTACCTTAATCCTGAAAACACAAATTTTCAGTCGCTGAATTAAGCCATAAATTCGAGTAAAGAGAAGAAAATTGTTAGTGTTATTATTGGGAGATAAAAAGAACATTTATCAAATCTTTATGTCCAACTTGCAGCAACTTTGTACCGTATCATGAAATTTTTCAGCAACTAACTGAAAACTAAGAAGCTCGCAAATATTTTTTTACTGAATGTCGAAAATTGTAATAAAAATTGAGATTGTTTTTTAACAACGAAGATTTCGCACCTAATTCTGCCAAACTTTTCAATCGCTTTTCCATTACTTGCTTGCAGCTTTCATCAATAATCAATAACGTAATATTTTCAGGCCAGTAGTCGTGTTAGCACAACCAATGTAGTCGTTAATGTGAATAGCGGATATAGGATAATTATGGCTGCACATCATTAAATACAGCACGAAATTATTGGCTAATATTGATTGACGACTTTCAAAAACACTGTTGGCCAATTTTGCCCAGCAGGAGCTTTGATAAATCGTTCAATCTTCGAGATTTATCGAAAAATTTGCCACGAAAGCACAACTTTGGCCCCCCTCAGGATTGCATTTTCTAGTTTTTGCTTTAAAAATATGCTAGTTGTCGCTGAAAACAGCGTCCAATTTAAATTCTAGTCTTCGTAATCCTCCAAAGGCCAGTCAGGAAAATTGGGCGTTTAAAAATTGAGCAAATCTTTCAGTTTTTCAGTGGAAATTGTGGTGAATTTGAGCGCATCGAGGGAGCCACAAGCTGTGTGTATAGTCGGGTCACTCTAAGTTTGAACACCAAGCTACATTTAGCTCGTTTGGTGTTCTACCTTACAGTGAGCGGACTGTACACCAAATCATCACTACTGCACCTTCCAAGAAGCACTCCACACCAGATTGTTTGCTAATTATTACACTCATTAATTACCCCCAGCTTTCATGTCGTCATTATTACAGATGAATTCTGCGAAGAATTCCCCCACAACTTTATACCCACGCCCGGGTACTGGATTGAATGCTCCAGACAAAAAATCACCTCTGATACCATTTGGGACGAGAGCGAGTCCGATCATGAGATACAAGAAGGCGATGAGGAGGACCACACCGATGGGACCGACCAGGAGAATGGACATCCTTCCAGGAGACGCGATCGCAGTGAGTGGAAAAATGTGGCCTTAAAAGTACTTTTTTAATCCCTAAGAAATTCATAACACGAAATTATTTCAAAAAACTTTGATTTTTTGGTCAGTATATCTCAAAAACTATTCATCGAAGTCAGCGTGTGATTTTACGTCTAAGCGTTTTTGAGACAAAAATTTGTTTGACCATTTTTACGAAACAACCTACGAAAACTCAAAAAAAATTTTTAATTCATCCCTCTAACGTTTTATACACATTTCTAAGTATTTTACAGCATTTTTACACTTTTCTAAGTGTCTTGGACCTTTAGGAGTGCATTTGGTTATGTTTTGAAAATTTTAATTTATTCGATTTCGTCAAAATTTTCGGCGATTTTTGATACTCGAGGCGGATATCAGTTAATAATTTTGATTTTTTTTTAAATAACTGTCTTATGTTTAGTATTGTTGGAAAACATTTTTACTTTTTCTGCAAATTTTTCTGCAAATAAATAGTTTTTGAGAAAATCGCTGGTAAAGACATAAATAGCAAAAATATTAATTCGCCAATAAACCGTTTTCAATATACTTCAACCGGAATTAACAAAATAAGAACGAGCAAAAATTTTTGCTAAAAGATTTTTATAAATCCGGAAAAATAACAAAAAATCTTAAATAAAACGCAAAATTCTCACACACAAATCTGATTATTTTTTCTATTAGAAACTCCTCAACCAAAAATCATGATTTTTTATTGATTGGTTTGAAATGTGATTACTTAAGGTTACATACTGTACTAGAAATAAAAAATTCAAAAACGCTTTGAAAAACTTTTTCTAAAAACCCAAAATATACGCAAAAATTCTTATAAAAAATATACAAAATCTTAAGTAAAACTAAGACAAATTATGGTTTTTTATTTTTTTATAATTCTGGAAATATCTCATCATAATTAAGCAATATTCACGAAAAAGTCCTAAAAATCTGTCTATCAAATATAATAGAATATAAAAAATCAATGCTTTTTGTCTGAAAAAAAAGTATCCAAAAACAAGAAATTCGCAAACTGTCTCAAAACTTCTTTTCTGAAAACTCAAAAAATACGCAAAAATATTCATAAACTCTCAAAAATAAAAAAATAATAAATTAAGATGTAATTTTGTGATTGGTTACTTTTTATAATTCTAAATTATATATTATAAAATTATTAACACAAATTCCAAAGAATTCACATTATTTTATCAAGTTAGAGGTCCCAAAAAACTTTGGGAGCCTTTTAAAAAAGTTGATTAATTATCATAATTACCCTTTTACATGAAAATTTATGTTTTTAATTTGAAATAAAAAATCTGAAAACAAGCAACTTAGAAACCGACTCAAAAGTAGTTGTTTGTTGGAATCTTAAAAAATGCTCAAAAATCCTAATAAATCCGGGAAAATTACAAAAAATCTTAAACAAAGTGTTCAATTTTTTTAAACATATTTTTAAGTGTTTACAACATTTTTGAACTTTTCTCAGTTTATTGAAGTGCATTTAGTTATATTTTTAAGGAGTTTAATTTTTTCGATTTTTGGCAAAATTTTTGTTACCTAAAGCGGATATCAGTTAATAATTTTTTTTTTAATAACTATCTTATGTTTAGTATCATTGGAAAGCACTTCTACTTTCCTATCTTATAAAAAAAGATCATAGTTTTGCGATAAATAGTTTTGGAGAAAATCGCTGGTAAAGAAAAATAACAAAAATATTAATTCAACAATAACTTCTAAACTATCAAGAATTTTGCGGATTTCCTGACACCAATCAAAAAACATAAGCCGTTTCCAATATACTTTAGCCAGAATTAACAAAATAAGAACGAATGAAAATGTTTGCTAAAAGATTTTTCCGAAAAATAACAAAAAATCTTAAATAAAACGAAAAATTAAGTTTACTTAATTTTTTCATTGAGTGGTTTAAAATAGTGATTACTTAAGGTTAATTACTGTACTAAATATCGAAAATTCAAAAACGCTTTGAAAATCTCGCAAACTGTCTCTGTTCTGTTTTACAAACCCAAAAAATACGCAAAAATAATTATAAACTCTGAAAAAATATACAAAATCTTAAGTAAAACGCAAAACAATTTATGTTTTTTAATTTTGTTATAATTGTTGAAAAATATCAACATAATTAAGCAATTTTCACGAAAAAGTCCTAAAAATCTTTGGAAGACTTTTTTGTCTATCAAATACTCGTATAGTAGAATATAAAAAATCAATGCTTAAAAAAATTAAACAAAAAGAAAAAATTCGCACTGTCTCAAAACTTCTTTTCTGAAAACTCAAAAAACACGCAAAAATATTCATAAACTCGGAAAAATCAAAAAAAATTTCAATAAATTAAAATGTAATCTTGTGATTGGTTCGTTTTTATAATATTATTTTTATTATAAAAATATTAACACAAATCTGATTATTCCAAAAATTTCACATTACTTTTTTAAGTTAAAGGTCCCAAAAACCTTTGGAAAACTTTTTAAGATTATAATTACATTTTTACATTAAAAGCTATGTTTTTTTTTACTAGAAATAAAAAATCTAAAAACTAGAAACTGACTTAAAAGTAGTGGTTTGTTGAAATCTCAAAAAATGCTACGAAATCCTAATAAATCCGGGAAATTTACAAAACATCCCAAACAACGTGTTCAATTATACATATTTTTAAGTATTTACAGCTTTTTTACACTTTTCTAATTTTCTTGTGCATTTGGTTGAATTTTAAAAATTTGATTTTTTTCAATTTTTGTCAAGATTTTCGGTTATCAGCTTATAACTTTGAATTTTTTTTTGATAACTGTTTTATGTTTGATATCGTTGCAAAGCACTTTTAATTTCCTATTTTACAAAAAAAGCTTATAGTTTTGTGATAAATATTTTTTGAGAAAATCGTTGCTAAAGACAACAATGTCTCAGATTCTATTTAAACTATTAAAAAGTTTTTCGCAGAAGTTTGAAAAAGATTTTTATAAACTCGAAAAAATAACAAAAAATCTTAAATAAAACGCAAGATGTAATTCTCACACACTGATATTTTTTTCTATCGGAAACTCCAACCAAAAAATCATGATATGTAAAATTTTTTCGTATTAAATTTACTTAAATTTTTCATTGATTGGTTTGAAATAGTGATTACTTAAGGTTAAATACTGTACTTAAACTTAAAAAAAACGCAAAATTAAATTCTTAATTCTTTATAATTTATTAGAAATACCAACGCAAATGTGATTATTTCAAAAAATCCATTTTTAGATTGTGGATTCTGGATGAAAATCTCCAAAAATTCCCAAAAATTCTTAACGAAATTTGGACATTTTTTTCAGAAATTACATAATCAGAAAATATAAATGAGAATACTTCTAAAAATCCCAACACATCATCCAAAACTTTTAGAAAGTTTTATTTAAATTTGTTTATTGTTTTCTCTTAAAAATATCTTTTCTAGTAATAATCCAAAAACATTTCACAAAATTTGTAAACTGTCTGAAAAATGTTTTTTGCTAATACCTCAAAAAATGTTTTAGAACGTTTTATTAAATTTGTTTATTGTTTTCTATTAAAAATATCTTTTCTAGTAATAATCCAAAAACATTTTACAAAATTTGTAAACTGTCTGAAAAATGTTTTTTGCCAATACCTCAAAAAATACTATAAACCCTGAAAAATAACATAAAAAGTTAAATGACACGCAAAATGAAATTCTCAGACACAAATCTGATTATTTTTTTCTATCAGAAACTCCAAAACCCAAAAATAAAGATCCGTAAAATTTTTGCATATTAAATTTTCGATTTTCGGTTAAAAGCTAATAATTTTGAATTTTTTTAATAAGTGTTTTATGTTTGGTAATGACAAAAATGTCTCAGATTCTATTTAAAAAGCTTTTTGCAGAAATCTCAAAAAATACTAAAAGATTTTAATAATAACAAAAAATCTTAAATAAAACGCACAATGAAATTCTCACACACAAATCTGACTATTTTATGCTTTTTACTAGAATTAAAAAATCTAAAAACAAGCAAATTAGAAACCGACACAAAAGTAGTGGTTTAGTGGAATCTCAAAAAATGCTCAAAAATCGTAATAAATCCGGAAACATTACAAGAAATCCTAAACAAAATGTTCAAGTATTTACAACCTTTTTACACTTTTCTAAATTTCTTGAACTAGGAGTGGATTTGGTTAATTTTTTTTTCAATTGTCAAAATTTCTACTTTAACACTTAAAAATTCATGACTCGGAAACTATGAGTCCTAGATCGAAACAGTTTATATAAACTAACTAACTTCCCAGATATTTTTACATGTTGTCTTAGTTTTTGATAAGATTCAAGAATAATTACTTTTTTGTACAACAAAATGATGCTCATTTTGCGTCTATTCTCCTGTCATCAACGTTTGTGGTCAATCTGACCACAATAATTCCCAACCAATCAAACTACTTGAATAGGTTGTATTTTCTTCAATATCAAACTAATCATATCTTGAAAATTATGTTTGTGTCATAAATTTTAATGTCCAATTTGCGCACACCGGTATATGCGGAATACTGAGAGATTTTCTTGATTTAATCATGTAATTTCAAGTCACTGGAAGCTCTAAAAATCCCCCGAAGTCTTTCTTTAAATAATAATAATAAAAGATTTTTTGTTTTAAACTGTTCAAAAAATGAAAATTTAATATTTCAAAATAGGTTGTAACGATTTGTACGAAGACGATGAAGAGGACGACTCGTCATCCCCGCGCAAAAAAACCACAATAGAAGAGCAATGGGAGAAAAACCAAGGTTTCGAGCTCACCAGTGTGGAACAAGAGACCTACGAAAAATATTTCTACGGTACCGAACATTGGAATTACTTCACCAATGATGAAGATTTAGGTCCTGTCATCCTCTCGATTAAGCAAGAAACCTTAAATTCCCGGGATCAATTTAGGTAAGTAAAAAAAAATATTTTCAATTCGTAGTTTATTTACAAAGAAAAGCTCGTTTTTGTGTGTGTGTGTGTCGCTACTACAACTCCGAAAAGTGTTTCCGCTCCGGGATTGACGTGCCATTTATCATTCGAATCACTTAGAAATTGTTACCCGGAAAGTGCACAATAGCGACCGGAATTCTCCTGCATAATCTCCAAATCCAAATCGAAAAAATTCGTGATTAAGTAATCCGGTTTGGGGATTTCTTTCAAACTCTGTTGTTTTAGGATCATATTGATCCGATTAGCTTGTTGCTAGACCTTGGAGATATTTCACTTGCTCCTCAGTAAATCGCCAGATCGATCGTTATCAAAAATTTAACGCAAACTGTTTTTGAGTGAATGATTCGTCTCAATTTTCAAAAAAAGCTCAATCAACTCCGGGTGCAATAATTGAGCCATAAGCTCTCTAAGCCAGTTAAAAGCTTTCTACTTTGTGCGAAAATTTTCTCTTTTTGGTTTATAAATGATGACAGCGTTGGCGATCTTTGAATCAAACAAAATCAATATTGAGGAGGTTATTTGGAGAGATATTTCATTTTGTAATCATTTGACAATGACAATTAATTAAGTGGCTTGATGCCACTTGCATAACAAAATGAAAATGAATAAAGTTTCAAGCAAACTTTTGACTTGAAATTCACAAAGTAATTATCGTTTAGTCTTCTCCGTTTCAGTTTTCATCGACGATTTTTATAAATACAGGAAAAATACGTTGTTTGTTACCTTTCCGGTGTGTTTACGACACTTTTGTCGGCTTCACTCAATAACAAAATTAAATAAATTAGAAAATTCTGAATTGAGTTATAAATTTTATGACCACGATAATAAAAAGCAATAAAATAGAATTGTGGGGTTTTACACAACGTGGAGACTCATAAATTATTCAAACCTAACACAACCTTGACACTAATAAGAATAACTCTTACCGTAACTATTAGTCCAAGAGCTTGAAAAAGTTTTCCAATCAAGTTTTTCAGTTCTGAAAATGTTTTCATCTCGGGTTCGACTAACAAGCCATGTAAAAAAACCGCTGAAAAATCGAAAAAATTATTGATCTTATTTGGAATCCTGAAAATTGCTTTTACTCTAAGTTTTTAAATCTTAATCTATTTCAGTAAATTAATAATAAAATAATGTTTGAACTAAAAGTTGTTCTTAAACGTTAAAGAAATATTAATTTTCTCATTACTAAATTAATAAATTCTCAAAGAAACATAAATCGTTGGTGTTGAAAAAAAAATT